TGTAATGTCCTTAAAACAAGTCAAAATGAGGCTCAGTAGTGTGTGTGGCCTCCACGTGCCTGTATGACCTCCCTACAACGCCTGGGCATGCTCCTGATGAGGTGGCGGATGGTCTCCTGAGGGATCTCCTCCCAGACCTGGACTAAAGCATCCGCCAACTCCTGGACAGTCTGTGGTGCAACGTGGCGTTGGTGGATGGAGCGAGACATGATGTCCCAGATGTGCTCAATTGGATTCAGGTCTGGGGAATGGGCGGGCCAGTCCATAGCATCAATGCCTTCCTCTTGCAGGAACTGCTGACACACTCCAGCCACATGAGGTCTAGCATTGTCTTACATTAGGAGGAACCCAGGGCCAACCGCACCAGCATATGGTCTCACAAGGGGTCTGAGGATCTCATCTCGGTACCTAATGGCAGTCAGGCTACCTCTGGCGAGCACATGGAGGGCTGTGCGGCCCCCCAAAGAAATGCCACCCCACACCATGACTGACCCACCGCCAAACCGGTCATGCTGAAGGATGTTGCAGGCAGAAGAACGTTCTCCACGGCGTCTCCAGACTCTGTCACATCTGTCACATGTGCTCAGTGTGAACCTGCTTTCATCTGTGAAGAGCACAGGGCGCCAGTGGCGAATTTCCAATCTTGGTGTTCTCTGGCAAATGCCAAACGTCCTGCACGGTGTTGGGCTGTAAGCACAACCCCCACCTGTGGACGTCGGGCCCTCATACCACCCTCATGGAGTCTGTTTCTGACTGTTTGAGCAGACACATGCACATTTGTGGCCTGCTGGAGGTCATTTTGCAGGGCTCTGGCAGTGCTCCTCCTGCTCCTCCTTGCACAAAGGCGGAGGTAGCGGTCCTGCTGCTGGGTAGTTGCCCTCCTACGGCCTCCTCCACGTCTCCTGATGTACTGGCCTGTCTCCTGGTAGCGCCTCCATGCTCTGGACACTACGCTGACAGACACAGCAAACCTTCTTGCCACAGCTCGCATTGATGTGCCATCCTGGATGAGCTGCACTACCTGAGCCACTTGTGTGGGTTGTAGACTCTGTCTCATGCTACCACTAGAGTGAAAGCACTGCCAGCATTCAAAAGTGACCAAAACATCAGCCAGGAAGCATAGGAACTGAGAAGTGGTCTGTGGTCACCACCTGCAAAACCAGTCCTTTATTGGGGGTGTCTTGCTAATTGCCTATAATTTCCACCTGTTGTCTATTCCATTTGCACAACAGCATGTGAAATTTATTGTCAATCAGTGTTGCTTCCTAAGTGGACAGTTTGATTTCACAGAAGTGTGATTGACTTGGAGTTACATTGTGTTGTTTAAGTGTTCCCTTTATTTTTTTGAGCAGTGTATATAACATTATATTGGTTTCAAGAATTTTGTATAATAATTTAAATGGAAAAATTTGAAGTTTTAAATCCGGCGTCATTTTGCGTATCAGTTCATAAACCATGTGCCATGGAATCGGTACATTGAAAATCTCTTCCCAACTATTTTGCAATCTATATGGCACAGCTGTACATTTATATAAATAGGCCCTTTTAATTTTGTCTGGCTTGCCATTCCAAATAAAATGGAAATCAATCTTCCAAATCAAGATGTGTTTGCTCATGACCTAAGGCAGTTGCACAACACAGAAGTACAGGCAAGTGATGCATGCATACTAAAATTTTACATGGTTTTGCGCATGTGCCAGGTGGCACTCTAAAAAGTTGGGTAAACAATACCCACTGGCCACACACTGACTGAATCAATGTTGTTTCCACATCATTTCAATGAAATTACATGGAACCAATGTGGAATAGATATTGAATTAACATCCGTGCCCAGTGGGATATTTTCCTGTGATGTTTTTGTCTCACGTTTTGAGAACCGCACAGACAACCTGTAGAGTAAGTTCAAAAGCAATTTTATTCAACATTCTGGCTTGTAAGGAACATTTCCAAGATTTTGCAGTGCTTTGTTTCAGACTGTATACCAAAAAGTGTGATTTGGCAAGAACAAGACAAACACAAATTAACCCTCCCGTTGTCCTAGGGTCAAAATGACCCGCCACTGTGTTGAACCAACTTTATTAAATTTTTATATTTTTTGGATCATTTGTGAGAAGGAGGCAGTGATACTTTCTTTAAAGTCTCACTGCCTCCTTCTCACAAATGATCCCCAAAATATAAAAATTAAATAAAGTTGGTTCAACACAGTGGCGGGTCATTTTGACCCTAGGACAACGGGAGGGTTAAGCACTCGAAATCACTGCACAAATTGAAGGATTTCATTTTTTTTTTACTTCATTTGAATCAAAAGATAACTGGGACACTTGCTAGCAATAAGGGAAGTATTTAGCAGTGTGGGCCTGTGTTAAAAATGATCTAGGCCTAAAAGTACGTGTGTTGGCGCAAGTGTGTGTACAGGCACCCATGTTGCCGTCACAAAATGATCAAATTAATCATTCTATAAAACCACACTAGGTCATATTAGGCCTACATGTGTGGATTTTTAAATAATCATGTGTCTGTAGCTAAATTAGTCTTTGCCGCTCAAATCTATGGAGATGTTTCTCATTATGTGCTGTGGGGTGTGGGGGTGCTCATGCAGTCTACATTGCAGTGAAAATAATTAATTATTTTCCAAATCTTTCTTGGTGACTGACTTCCTTTCTCCAAACAGCAGAGTGCAATAGTCACATGGCTGAATTGTATATAATTTTGAAGAGCTGTAGAAAATATGTTTGGCAATAAATGTTGCATTAAGTAATGTGCTTTAACATGTACTGTATAATACAATACAGAGGCACTGAACCCTGGGATAAGATAGAATGAAGGAAATCAATGTAATGATATCATCATACAATGTTTCCCAGTAAAATGCATGGTCTACACCCTTCTTTTACGTAAGGTCTAGGGTCTGCACTCTAGTCTGAGCTACTTGGGAGAGATTTAATTGGATAGATATCCTAATGATGAGAGGTGCTGCTGGGATGCACATTATCTAGTCACTGTGTGTGCTGAGGACAGCTTAAAATAGCAGGAAATTAAGCCATACCTGAATGATATGGGCATGTGGTGGCAGTATATGGATGAATCTGTATCTCTAGGATCTATATCTGGGTAGCCTACTTTTACCTTACTTCTAAGTTCCACCAACCCAATAGCTATAGCAAAACAATAGTTAAAGGTCCAAGAAAGATATTTATGAGGAAAGTGACTCATGGCACTATAATTAAAAACCCACATTTATTCACCACATCCTTGCATCTTTAGGTCGGTAGCATTTGTAGGTGTCAAAACCATACTACGTTCAGTGGAAAACAATAAGGGAAATACATGAACCATTAGGCCTACATCATTTTATGCTGTTTGACATTGTGTCTGATGTCTGAAAGTAGACTATACATTACAAAGCTCGCTGTGACTCTCCCTCCCATCTCAATTGTAGAGAAGTCTAAAGGACAATTTGCATTAGGCTAATTTCATGCTGTGCTACATGACAGAAGACATGCTGATTGGTGGGTAGAGGATTAGGAGGCGGGCACAATAAAGACTCAAATTACAATTGGTTTTATGTTGGTGACCTTGACTACTGATTCCCTCATCAGACTGATTCTCTTTCCTCTGACACCAAGCTAAAAAATATATTGTTTTACTATGTCTGTGTGTTTTGCGTTTTAGTAGATCATGGAGCCAAATTTAGTATTTTGATAGGTTACATAAAATTCAATAAAGCTAAATCCATCACTGTATGATGAGGCCATGCAGCCAAGATGTGGCAGTCAAGGATTGATTCCACCATCCTATTTGTTGTACATGTTGTATGTTGTGGTGCATTAAAATACCAGTAGATCAATTTGATGTCTGACTGGATGAATGTGGGAACTGAAACATACCTCCTCTCAGATTTCATTAACCCCATTATCATAGGGCCCCACCCTGTACTATAGGAGACCCAACCCACTCATACTTGCAACCAAAACAAATACATTTTAAGAAGCAATTATTTATGTCAATCTTACAATCATATTTTTTGGACTGTCCTTAGATCAGGAAGTATTTCCTTAGTTGTCAACTGCATGATTATGGATAGGCCTACCTTTGGAAAAAATCATTGATTTTATTATTCAATAATGCACATTTTGATACTTTGATACAAAACGTTTGGTTTATGGAGAGAGAGAAAAAAGGCACAGTGGAACCCCTCCCTCCCCCAGTTGTATTTTGGCGTTGACTCTGTTACGTCAGCTGTTTCTCTGCGGTCCTGCAGTGTCCGTGGTTTTTTTGCTGATAGTGTGAAAAACCGACTCCGTTGCAATGGAAAGTCGGATTTAGGAGAATACTTCAGTTTGGAAAGCATAGGACATTTTACAATCCCACTCAAGTTAATCAAGGACACGGAATTCAACGTCTCTTGGCTTGGTAGCTACATTTATATTTTCGGATGGGATGAGGACACTTCTGCGCAAGGGACTCATTTATGCAGTGGCTAGCATCTCTGGCTAGCTAATGTGCAAATGCTAACTATAAAAACAATCAGCTAGCTACAAGAAACGACTTGCAAGAACGTCAGCGGATAAGTTGACTTGTTTAGCATATAAAATGCATCGACAACTTATTGTGATTAGTGTATTTTACTAAATCGAATCACTTAAAATGGATAAATGTATGGCTTGCAAGCTAGCTAGCTAGCCAATCTAGCTAGCTGATTCGCTAACTAGCTAGCTATGGATTGTTGCTGTTGTGTTAGCTGACACGCTAACGTTAGTTATGCAATTAGATCAACATAACAATTGTCTTTGGAAATGTGTTGACACGTATTTAATTGTAGTCAATGCTAGACCCCTAGCATGGGAAATATATCCCAGCAAGCTAGTTTATGGGTGGAGATGTAACTTGACATCCCAATCCCAGTTGAGATGTAGCACGAGACAGCTGAAAGTAATTCTAGTTAGCTAGCTAACTCAGCTCGTTCCGCACAGGAAAGATTGTATTTTAACATTGATTGCATGACGGGGTGCCCAACAAGCCAGACAATCATGTCTAGTAAAGCCACGACTAAAGAGAAGAAATCTGGTAGCTTCAGCAAGAAACTCTTCAGACGAGGCTCTGTGCGCTCTGTGGGTAGTTTTATGGGCAGAGTCCTCAGGACCTTGTCAACCTTGTCCCATTTTGGATCAGATGGGCATGCTATTGAAGGTGACAAAGACGATGGGGGTTTCACATTATTCAAAACTGGAGGCAAAGATTCAACAGCTTTGGATGATAGTGACCGTTTCCTCGGAGAGAAGGTCCCTGGAGTGTCTGGTCTCAAAAACCATGGTAACACTTGTTTCATGAATGCCATCCTCCAGTGCCTGAGTAACACTGAACTCTTTGCTGAGTATTTGGCACTGGAACAATACCGGGGAGTCGAGGAAACGGACGAGGAGAAGGAGAAACCGAAGACAAACGGTGTGCATTTGGGGAGGAAGGGCCCTCAGGACAGAGGCGAGGTGACGGAGCAGCTGTCTGGACTGGTCCGGGCCCTGTGGACATTTGAATACACCCCACAGCACAGCAGGGAGTTCAAAGTAAGTTGGTAAAATGCATCATAAAGCAAAACTGCGTGTCTCACAGGACTGCATTTGGTCCTCAGATTCAGCCTATACTACAGATCTTTGAAACAGCCTAATGGTCAAATACATTTAGGCTATATTAAACTTCTGAGACTAGGCTATCACCAGAACTTTCAAGCAGTGTTGCTTGTGCTGTTTGTTACAGAATGCTGTCTCAAAGAGCGCTTTGCAGTATAGAGGCAATGCTCAGCATGATGCCCAGGAGTTTCTGCTCTGGCTTCTGGACAGGGTACATGAGGACCTCAACAACCATCCCAACAACAGGCCTTCCATTAAGGTAAACTTTTGTTTGTACATCATAGAGTTAGGGGCTACTAATGCAACTTCAGGAACGGTGGTAGTGGCCAGGTTAGCACAGCGAGACAGTTAGTGATGTGACCTTGAGCCAGCAGTGAATGGAGCTGTACCTGAGGTGAGTCAGCAGTCTGAGTGGAGGAGGTGACAGGAGGTGGCTGGCTAATTGTGATGTCCTTTGAAGCCTCACTCAGACATTCCAAACAGAATAACATTGGAGCGAGGGAAAGGGCCTGGCATCCTGCAGGCCAGGGCAGATTTACCGACCTAACCCATTTCTGAACGCTGAGCCCCTTATCAGGCATCAATCTTCCAGCGCACTGGAACAAACAAGTTAGGAGATAGAGCTCACTTCCCTACTTTACAGTGTGATGACTGATTCATCTCCTGTGGGAGAATGAACAGGAAGTGATGGTGTTCTGTGTCCCCTTCCTGGATTTCTCAGTCTTCCCGGTCTGCTGTCACTCACAGCTCCCTGCTCTGTAAAGGCGTCCGCATGCTTCCCATCCGAAACAGTTTGGAACAGTTTGTGCATATATTATGGTGACATTTTGTTATTTTTTATCTTTGGCAAGGATTTTTCTGGAGGCAAGCTGAAGTGGGTAGCCGAAGTCTATGCCCCTTGGTCGGTGATTGGTCAACAGTAGGGATTCTTCAATGAAGTGTTTGTTGTCATTCAATCAGAGACCAATCGTTTTCATGCAAATTTTGTTCACTTGAGATGTAAAATTGTGCGAATAAGGTCTCCTCGGCAAAAACGTCAAAGTTACTGACAGATTTCTTGAGTTATCTTAGATGAATTCTGACAATGTTGAGGAAGTGTATACTGGCTACGGTGTCTCAAGATGGACAAACGATACTATTGCCGCTTTCCCGTTTTTCAAGCAAAGGTATTTTAAGGGAGTATGCGAGCACATTCGTTCGCCTAGCTGAGTTCGACTAGGCGCCAGCAGAACCGAAGCATGAGGAAGGCTTTAGACATGCAGAGTGAGAGACGTGACCTGAATAGACCCCACAGAGCTTTGTTGATGAGTTCGCCATGCCAAATGCCCATACTTCCTTGAGGATAAGTCAGAGGAGCTGCAGCATCACTGGCAGTTTTGTTTGTATTTTGGTCTCTTATCCTTTCGATGTCTTTCAGACTGTGCTTTGGATGCTCATTGACGTAGTGAATAGAATACAGCCTCAATATCCTAAATCGTCTAATATGCAGTGAGAGCTCATCCACTCTGTTTTCTCCTATTAGCCACCAGTGGAAGAGGATGATGGGGATCTAGAGGGGCCTTCTCTTCCGCTCTCTACCGGTTCATTTGTGCAAGAGCTATTTCAGGCCCAGTACAGGTAGGTCTTATATGATGCTTACCGCTGAGGTGTTTTATATTCTCCATTCTGTGTATTCATGACTTCTTCTGAGACAAATGAGTTCCCTTTCTTACCGACAGGTCGTCGCTCACCTGCCCGCATTGCCAAAAACAGAGCAACACCTTTGATCCTTTCCTCTGCATCTCCCTGCCCATCCCCTTACCTCACACAAGGTGAGTACACATCTCTGCTGTGTTCCAGCATTGGGTCTGGTGGCCGGAACAAGACTGTTGAAATGTATATCTTGAGACTACTTGAGACTGCGGTTCATTTCAATTTCCCAGGGATGCGGAAGCAAAGCAAATAAGAAGGAATGTCGTTTTGGGGCCAAATATGCCATTTAGGAGACTATCTGCAGACCAAACCAAGCCAGTATTATGGGACTATTCTATTTCTAAAGCCAATTTAAGGGCTACATGCCCAGAAAAAATGGAAAATAGACGTACTTTTAAATTTGAAATGAAGATGTAGGCCTATCACATTTTAGAAATATGTTGTGTTCTTCTGTCATAATTTTAGTATTTTGAATTTCATTATTTGTGCCTAGCAGTCAAAACCACCTTTATGCTCACTCAGTTGAGGATTCATAATGCTCCTAAACTGAGGTACCTGGGACATGTATGGCCTTTTTGTCCTCATGACACAGTGATGCTATTTTTACGATAGTGTTATACTGTCACATCAAGGAGAGAGCGCCTTGATCGATGCAGATTCTTTTTTAAGCCACTAAATTCATTACTGTCCATGCATAATTAAAGATGGGAAGGATGAGGTGAAATTAGGAGATAGGCAGTGGCAAATTATGTCCCATTAGTCCTCCGGCGAATCTGATTGATGACAGAATAATGGTCCTCCAGACCAAGGTTCAGTGGCTCACTTCTTCTTCTTCCTTCTCCTCCCAGAAACACAATCATGGGACAGAGCCTATATAAAAAGTTCAAATGACAGAGAATCTCAGAAATGGCAACCATCTTGAAAATGTGGGTTCTCCTAAATGTGTGGTATCTGAAACTGAACTCCTGAAAAAGCTGCATTGCTGTGCCTGCTGGCTGAGTTCTTAGTGTCAGCTTAGAGTAGCACTGATCCACACAGTCACCAGAGGAATCCTGCTCAGTGCTCTCAGAGTAATTACAAATGAGCTAGTCTCCAGACAGTGATGTAGCAGCATTATTAGAGGAGATGGAAACCTGTCCTCTCCTAAGAGGTTGATTATTGGACGTAATTGTGTTTGATATGGCGACAGTTGAGTTTGTCCATTCTGTTAATTCCTGGCCCATGTCAGTGGTTTTTATCTGGTGTTTTGTAATTATTCCATGCAGAGTGCCAATATCTGCTGTCCTTTCCCATGTCCTTTCCCATGTTTCCTCTCCTCCCAGGCCTCTGTATGTGACAGTGGTCTACCAGGGGAAGTACTCTCACTGTATGAGGATCGGAGTGGCCGTGCCCCTGAACAGCACCGTGTCCAGACTCCGAGATGCTGTGTCACGTGAGACCAAGATCCCCCTGGACCAGGTGCTGCTTCCTTCCTGCTCTCTAAACCCTAGCAGCCTCAGCTCTGTCTTACTAGGTTACATACACACTGACGTTAACTTGGATGTTTTATTTTATTGTGGTATCTAGCTACTAAGGATTTCAAAGGATTGTTATCTGAAAAGAACAGTAAAGGAGCGCCCTACTTAGACTTACTTTTCCTTTAATGATTAATCCCTGGGTACTAGACTGATTGTGTGCCCATTTCAGTATTAATAGCTGCTTTATAGTGTTGTGGTAAGTAGTATTAGAATAGTGCATCATAGTCTCTTTAATCAGGATGAAGGGATCACTGGAACAGAGCCCATTGTATCCAAGAACAACAGAACTGATCTCTTGGTTTTTTGTGCTTAACCTTTTTTTTTTTGGTTTTTTGGTAACCCCCAACAAAAACCCCCGTTTTCCCCCTTTGTTTAAATCCTGTTTTTTGGTCGGAAAATTTTTTGTTTGAAGGGGTTAAAGGTCCCGGGGAAAGGGGTTTCGCAAGTTTTTTGGGGGCCTTATCTTTACCCGGGGGAGGTGGCCTCCTGTTGGGTTTATGTTTTTTGGCTGGGTTTTTTCCTTTTTTTAAATTTTCCCATTTTTCTCCCCAATTTTCCCTTTCCCTCTTTCCCCAATTTTAACACTTTTTTTTGGCTTTTCCCCGCCTTTTTTGTTTTTCTTCTTCCTCAATCCTCTGTTTACAGGGTTTTTGGGTTTTGGGGTTTTTTTTTGGGGATTGTTTTTGGGTTTTTGGTTTTTTTTTTGGGGGGGTTTTGTTTTTTTTTTTTTTTTTTGGGTTTTTTGGGTTTTTTTTGTTTTTGTTTTTTTGTTTTTGTTTTTTGGGGGTTTTTTTTGTTTTTTTTTTTTTTGTTTTTTTTTTTGGTTTTTTTTAAAAATTTTTGGGGGCCCGGACTTGCCCCGAAAAGGTTTTTCCTGGGGTTCCTTCTGTGATGTCCATTGGTAACATTAAGAAAACCTATCTTTGTTTTAAACCCCGAGACCTTAAAAAGGTAGAGAATTCGGGCCCGGGGGAGGGGGGGGTTTTCGTTTTTTCCCTTCCCCTATTTAAAATTTCCCCTTTTGTAAAATTATTTTAATTTTGGGTTTTTTTTCAAAAAATTTTTTGGGATTTTGGTAATTTAAGTTTTCCCCCCATTTTTGAAATAAAAAGATTTTAGAGTTATAAAAGGACCATTGGGTTTGAAATCCCGGTTTTGTTTTTTTGGGGGAAGAAAAGCCTTTAAAGTTTTTGGGGGAGATGAGGAAGGGCTTTATTTTCATCAAAGGGGGGAATCCTTTTCCCTTTTAACCCCTAGAACCTTGGGGGCCGAAAAAAAGAGGGGCCCCCTTGATCTGTAACCGAGCCTGCACCGGCCAGCAAGGGAGGAGGTACTATAGAGATGCACTATTAATAATATTGACTACAATGTTCTAATTGTATTTCTATGGGTACTACAGCCCCAGCGTTTTCCACTGTCCTCTGAAACCGTGCAGGTCATATGAGATTTGTTATATTAAGTATACGTTGGAGTCTTAACAGTAGAATATCATTCCCTCTTTTCCAGGTTTTGGTCTTCCATTTGTACTGTACATGGATCGCACACTGTGACCTGGGATATCCTGCAGAAGGAGATCCTGGAGAAGATGCATCACCTGCTCAGGCCAGGAGTTTACATTCAGGTGGGTGAAAAAAACTAATGGAAGTATGAAGGTAGTTTTGTGCCTACCCAAAAATATATATACAGTACCAGTCAAAAGTTTAGACACACCTACTCATTCAAGGGTTTTTCTTTATTTTTACTAATTTCTACATTATAGAATAATAGTGAAGACATCAAAACTATGAAATAACACATATGGAATCATGTAGTAACCAAAAAAGTTTTAAACAAATCAAAATATATTTTATATTTGAGATTCTTCAAAGTAGCCACCCTTTGCCTTGATGACAGCTTTGCACACTCTTTGCATTCTCTCAACCACCTTTGCCTGGAATGCTTTCCCAACAGTCTTGAAGGAGTTCCCACATATGCTGAGCATTTGTTGGATGCTTTACCTTCACTCTGCCGTCGACTCATCCCAAACCATCTCAATTGGGTTGAGGTCAGGGGATTGTGGAGGCCAGGTCATCTGATGCAGCACTCCATCACTCTCCTTCTTTGTAAAATAGCCCTTACACAGCCTGGAGGTGTGTTGGGTCATTGTCCTGTTGAAAAACAAATGATAGTCCCACTAAGCCCAAACCAGATGTGATGGCGTATCGCGTCAGAATGCTGTGGTAGCCATGCTGGTTAAGTGTGCCTTGAATTCTAAATAAATCACAGACAGTGTCACCAGCAAAGCACCCCCACACCATAACACCACCTCCTCCATGCTTTCCGGTGGGAAATACACAACCGGAGATCATCCGTTCACCCACACCACGTCTCACAAAGCCACGGCGGTTGGAACCAAAAATCTGAAATTTGGACTCCAGACCAAAGGACAAATTCCCACCGGTCTAATGTCCATTGCTCGTGTTTCTTGGCCCAAGCAAGTCTCTTCTTCTTATTGGTGTCCTTTAGTAGTGTTTTCTTTGCAGCAATTCGACCATGAAGGCCTGATTCACACAGTCTCCTCTGAACAGTTGATGTTGAGATGTGTATGTTACTTGAACTCTGTGAAGCATTTATTTGGGCTGCAATTTCTGAGGCTGGTAACTCTAATAAACTTATCCTCTGCAGCAGAGGTAACTCTGGGTCTTCCATTCCTGTGGCGGTCCTAATGAGAGCCAGTTCCATCAAGTTCTTGAAATGTTCCGTATTGACTGACCTTCATGTCTTAAAGTAATGATGGACTGTCGTTTCTCTTTGCTTATTTGAGCTGTTCTTGCCATAATATGGACATGCTCTTTTACCAAATAGGGCTATCTTCTGTATACCCCCCCCCCCCTTGTCACAACACAACTGATTGGCTCAAACGCATTAAGAAGGAAAGAAATTCCACAAATTAACTTTTAAGAAGGCACACCTGTTAATTGAAATGCATTCCAGGTGACTACCTCATGAAGGTGGTTGAGATAATGCCAAGAGTGTGCCTTCTGTCATCAAAGCAAAGGGTGGCTATTTGAAGAATCTCAAATATAAACTATATTTTGATTTGTTTAACACATTTTTGTTTACTACATGATTCCATATGTGTTATTTCATTGTTTTGATGTCTTCACTATTATTCTACAATGTAGAAAATATTAAAATAAAGAAAAACCCTTGTAGGAGTAGGTGTGTCCAAACTTTTGACTGATGGTGTATATATTTCCAGCATTTTTTTTATATCTCCTAGATTTAGGACAGACACTTCAAAACCTTGTTTCTTATTATTTATTTCTTGACTGTCCTTTTTGCCATATATGAATGTGTTATTCAATGCGTTTCTATGGGCTTTAGTAGTAAAGGCCAAAATCAATATTTGATAAAATACATGTTTTATATATTTTTTATTATATCTAAAGGGGTCCTAAAATTCAAAATAAAATAGCTAAATTATCCATAGTATGACCATTTTTAAAACAATTCCATATGTCAGCTTAGCACCCCCTATCCTCCAACGTCTTAGACTCTAAAGAAATGAACAGTTGATTCCCATGTAATGGCATGTTGGACGTGTAAGTTGCTTCATTGGATAGAATGCAGTTGGTCTGGTTTGAAAAGCACGGCCATGGCAACATGTCTATACGTAGCAGTCAGGAAGTGGGAATAGGGATAGTGAGTAACTAAAGTCCTGGTATTATCTGCAGGTGGGGCCCTTCAGCCTACGAGTGGTTGGTGTGGTTGGCATCACATACCTCCTGCCCCAAGAGGAGCAGCCTCTCTGTCACCCAACAGTGGAAAGGTCAGTCTCCTTGTTATTCCTGGTCCTTTGTAGCTCAGTTGGTAGAGCATGGTGCTTGCAACTCCAGGATAGTGTGTTCGATTCCTGGGACCACCCATACAGATGTGATATCTTAATTTGACCAGTTTCTATATTATGTGGATTATAATTAATGGACATTTTTGAGGGGTTGATAAATTTTTTGTTAAACCTCGAATGCAATACATTTGCATTTCCTGTTGCGCAGGAAGGGGCCGGGGGACAACAGGGTAAGAAATAAATTCAAAATTTGTATGTTTAAAAAAAGGGAATACAGTTTAAATTCCCTTTTTAAAGTAAAGGGGGTTGTAAATGGCATTTTTTTTTTAAAAAAACAACGTAAAACCCCGTCAACCGGGTCAAGTAGTATGGCAAAAAAAGGGATAAAAAACGCTTTCCCCAAAAAATTGGCCCGGTGTCTGATTCCCCCTTTAAAAATGTTTTTTTTTTGAACATCCGCAAAAACCCCCGAAACCCCGCCCCCACTGGGTTGGGGGTTTTAAAAGGTTTCCCAAAAAAGGTTTTCCCTTTTGGGGGAAAATTTAAAAAAAATTAATGGGGAAAAAAAATTTTTTGTTTCCCCCCCCCCCAACCCCAAAAACCCCCTTAAAAGGGTTTTTTGGGGGCCCGTTTTCCTTTTTACACCAACTTGGCTTTTCAGAAACAATTTGGATTTTGTAATGAATTTTGCAAAATTTGGGGAAAGAAAGGAATGTCGTCCCGAACCCTTAACTGGCGTGCCTTACCTTTGTCTGTTCTTTTCTTCACACACACTGCTTGCTCAGCAGGTTTGGATTATAGTTTATATCCCAGTTGCTGATTCAATTGAATAGAATGGAAGTTTGTCACACAGTACACACACTACAAAGCTGGTTAGATATGTGTACAGGAGGCAAAAGGACAGCCACATGGGTAATGTAAATCCAATTCACTTAGATTTGTAGTGTTTTGAAGATGAGAGGAATACAGCTTGTTAGTTGGAATATTTTTAACTTGTCAGGCAGGGTTGTGAAACTGGCTTGTTCTCGTTTTCCCTCATAACATAATCTTTCTTCGGCAGAGCGTACAAGTCCTGTGGACAGGGGGGACCGCCGCACGTCAAGATAGTGGTGGAGTGGGACAAAGAGACCAAGGATTAGTGAGTGAACGCTGCACAACAATATTGCTGGTGCTCTGCATCCCTTTGAAAAATGCCATGTTTCTGGGGTTTTGTGGTGAGATTCATCCTGCAGGGAAATACATGACCATAAATTATCCCCATAAAGCCACTAGGGATGGGGATGGTTGTTAGAATATTTGACTATCCAAATGGAAGTTAGTATTCAATTACTTGCGAGAAGATATTAAAAAAATATACAGTGGGGAAAAAAGTATTTAGTCAGCCACCAATTGTGCAAGTTCTCCCACTTAAAAAGATGAGAGAGGCCTGTAATTTTCATCATAGGTACACGTCAACTATGACAGACAAATTGAGGAAAAAAAATCCAGAAAATCACATTGTAGGATTTGTAATGAATTTATTTGCAAATTATGGTGGAAAATAAGTATTTGGTCACCTACAAACAAGCAAGATTTCTGGCTCTCACAGACCTGTAACTTCTTTAAGAGGCTCCTCTGTCCTCCACTCGTTACCTGTATTAATGGCACCTGTTTGAACTTGTTATCAGTATAAAAGACACCTGTCCACAACCTCAAACAGTCACACTCCAAACTCCACTATGGCCAAGACCAAAGAGCTGTCAAAGGACACCAGAAACAAAATTGTAGACCTGCACCAGGCTGGGAAGACTGAATCTGCAATAGGTAAGCAGCTTGGTTTGAAGAAATCAACTGTGGGAGCAATTATTAGGAAATGGAAGACATACAAGACAACTGATAATCTCCCTCGATCTGGGGCTCCACGCAAGATCTCACCCCGTGGGGTCAAAATGATCACAAGAACGGTGAGCAAAAATCCCAGAACCACACGGGGGGACCTAGTGAATGACCTGCAGAGAGCTGGGACCAAAGTAACAAAGCCTACCATCAGTAACACACTACGCCGTCAGGGACTCAAATCCTGCAGTGCCAGACGTGTCCCCCTGCTTAAGCCAGTAGATGTCCAGGCCCGTCTGAAGTTTGCTAGAGTGCATTTGGATGATCCAGAAGAGGATTGGGAGAATGTCATATGGTCAGATGAAACCAAAATAGAACTTTTTGGTAAAAACTCAACTCGTCGTGTTTGGAGGACAAAGAATGCTGAGTTGCATCCAAAGAACACCATACCTACTGTGACGCATGGGGGTGGAAACATCATGCTTTGGGGCTGTTTTTCTGCAAAGGGACCAGGACGACTGATCCGTGTAAAGGAAAGAATGAATGGGGCCATGTATCGTGAGATTTTGAGTGAAAACCTCCTTCCATCAGCAAGGGCATTGAAGATGAAACGTGGCTGGGTCTTTCAGCATGACAACGATCCCAAACACACCGCCCGGGCAACGAAGGAGTGGCTTCGTAAGAAGCATTTCAAGGTCCTGGAGTGGCCTAGCCAGTCTCCAGATCTCAACCCCATAGAAAATCTTTGGAGGGAGTTGAAAGTCCGTGTTGCCCAGCGACAGCCCCAAAACATCACTGCTCTAGAGGAACTCTGCATGGAGGAATGGGCCAAAATACCAGCAACAGTGTGTGAAAACCTTGTGAAGACTTACAGAAAACGTTTGACCTGTGTCATTGCCAACAAAGGGTATATAACAAAGTATTGAGAAACTTTTGTTATTGACCAAATACTTACTTTCCACCATAATTTGCAAATAAATTCATAAAAAATCCTACAATGTGATTTTCTGGATTTTTTCCCCTCATTTTGTCTGTCATAGTTGACGTGTACCTATGATGGAAATTACAGGCCTCTCTCATCTTTTTAAGTGGGAGAACTTGCACAATTGGTGGCTGACTAAATACTTTTTTGCCCCACTGTATGTAGGCTAGGCCTATTTTAATGAAAATACTTTGTCTAAAATGTTATTATCTATGTGACATTGCTACATACAAGGATATACCATGACATTAGACATTTTAATAAAACAACAGTTTTATGAGTTTTTATGAGTGCGCTCCATTAAAAAAAGACGTACCGGTAGCCTACACACTTTTCACGAGTGTAACTTGTTATTGTCGGTCAGTCAAAGCAGCACTACCATCAAAGGCTCCAAGTGAAGTGGGAGATTTCTAATCAATGCAAAATGGAATTACAATTACGAAATTAAGTTGGCTAAATGTAAGTAAGTAGGCTACAATTGTTTAATATGAATTGAATTGTTGTAGACAAGGAGGTGGGGAGCACAGCAGCCTCAATTAGCCTTTCAAGCTAGCTAGCTAGCTGGCTAACTAACGTAGCTGGGTCATTCCTACTAAGCGGTACATTTTGGATCTCATAACTTTTGGGCAAAATGTATACTGAACAAAAATATAAACGCAACATGTAAATTGTTGGTCCCATGTTTCATTAGCTGAAATAAAAGATTCCAGAAATCTTCCATACGCACAAAAAGCGTATTTACATTTACATCATTTAGCGACTTACAAATTGGTGCATTGAACTTATGATAGCCAGTGGGACAACCACTTTTTTTTATGGGGGGGGGGGGGGGGGGGTGTAGAAGGATTACTTTATACTATTCCAGGTATTCCTTAAAGAGGTAGGGTTTCAAGTGTCTCTGGAAGGTGGTCAGTGACTCCGCTGTCCTGGCGTCGTGGCGGAGCTTGTTCCACCATTGGGGTGCCAGAGCAGCAAATAGCTTTGACTGGGCTGAGCGGGAACTGTGCTTCCGTACAGGTAGGGGAGCTAGCAGGCCAGAGGTGGATGAACGTAGTGCTCTCGTTTGGGTGTAGGGTCTGATCAGAGCCTGAAGGTAAGGAGGTGCCGTTCCCCTGACAGCTCCGTAGGCAAGCACCATGGTCTTGTAGTAGATGCGAGCCTCAACTGGAAGCCAGTGGAGTGTGCGGAGGAGCGGGGTGACATGAGAGAACTTGGGAAGGTCGAATACCAGACGGTCTGCAGCGTTCTGGATAAGTTGTAGGGGTTTAATGGCACAGGCAGGGAGCCCAGCCAACACCAGTGGTGAGAGCACGTGGTGCGGAGACAGATTCTCGCCACGCCACCTGGTAGGAGCGACCTGTCCGGTAGGACGCAATCCAAGAGTGAGCAGCGCCGGAGATGCCCAACTCGGAGAGGGTGGAGAGGAGGATCTGATGGTTCACAGTATCAAAGGCAGCAGATAGGTCTAGAAGGATAAGAGCAGAGGGGAGAGAGTTAGCTTTAGCAGTGCGGAGAGCCTCCGTTACACAGAGAAGAGCAGTCTCATTTGAATGACCAGTCTTGAAACCTGACTGGTTTGGATCAAGAAGGTCATTCTGAGAGAGATAGCAGGAGAGTTGGCTAGAGACGGCACGCTCAAGAGTTTTGGAGAGAAAAGAAAGAAGGGATACTGGTCTGTAGTTGTTGACATCGGAGGGATCGAGTGTAGGTTTTTTGAGGAGGGGTGCAACTCTCGCTCTCTTGAAGACGGAAGGGACATGGCCAGCGGTCAAGGATGAGTTGATGAGCGTGGTGAGGTAAGGGAGAAGGTCTCTGGAAACGGTCTGGAGAAGAGAGGAGGGGATAGGGTCAAACGGGCAGGTTGTTGGGCGGCCGGCCGTCACAAGTCGCAAGATTTCATCTGGAGAGAGAGGGGAGAAAGAAGTCAAAGCATAGGGTAGGGCAGTGTGAGCAAGACCAGCGGTGTCATTTGACTTAATAAATGAGGATTGGATGTCATCAACCTTCTTTTCAAAATGGTTGACGAAGTCATCCACAGAGAGGGAGGGGGAGGAGGAGGAGGAGGATTCAGCAGGGAGGAGAAGGTGGCAAAGAGCTTCCTAGGGTTAGAGGCAGAGGCTTGAAATTTAGAGTGGTAGAAAGTGGCTTTAGCAGCGGAAACAGAGGAAGAGAATGTAGAGAGCAGGGAGTGAAAAGATGACAGGTCCGCAGGGAGTCTAGTTTTCCTCCATTTCCGCTCGGCTGCCCGGAGCCCTCTTCTGTGAGCTCGCAATGAGTCGTCAAGCCACGGTGCAGGAGGGGAGGACCGAGCCGGCCGGGAGGATAGGGGACATAGAGAGTCAAAAGATGCAGAAAGGGAGGAGAGGAGGGTTGAGGAGGCAGAATCAGGAGATCGGAGGGAGAAGGATTTAGCAGAGGGAAGAGATGAAAGGATGGAAGAGGAGAGAGTAGCGGGAGAGAGAGAGGCGAAGGTTGCGACGGCACATTACCATCTGAGTAGGGGCAGAGTGAGTAGTGTTGGAGGAGAGCGAGAGAGAAAAGGATACGAAGTAGTGGTCGGAGACTTGGAGGGGAGTTGCAGTGAGATTAGTAGAAGAACAGCATCTAGTAAAGATGAGGTCAAGCGTATTGCCTGCCTTGTGAGTAGGGGGGGACGGTGAGAGGGTGAGGTCAAAAGAGGAAAGGAGTGGAAAGAAGGAAGCAGAGAGAAATGAGTCAAAGGCAGACGTAGGGAGGTTAGTCACCCAGAACTGTGAGGGGTGAGCCATCCTCAGGAAAGGAACTTTTCAAGGCGTCAAGCTCATTGATGAACTCTTCAAGGGATCCTGGAGGGCGATAAATGATAAGGATGTTAAGCTTGAATGGGCTAGTGACTGTGACAGCATGGAATTCAAATGAGGAGATGGACAGATGGGTCAGGGGGAAAGAGAGAATGTCCAATTGGGAGAGATGAGGATTCCTGTGCCACCGCCGCGCTGACCAGATGCTCTCCAGAACACATGGTCAGACGAGGAAAGAGCAGTAGGAGTAGCAGTGTTTTCTGTGGTAATCCATGTTTCCGTCAGCGCCAAGAAGTCGAGGGACTGGAGGGTAGCATAGGCTGAGATTAACTCTGCCTTGTTGGCCGCAGAACGGCAGTTCCAGAGGCTGCCAGAGACCTGGAACTGCACTAATTTGTTTACATCCCTGTTAGTGAGCATTTCTCCTTTGCCAAGATAATCCATCTACCTGACAGGTGTGGCATATCAAAAAGATGATTAAACAGCACAATCATTACACAGGTGCACCTTGTGCTGGGGAAAATAAAAGGCCACTCTAAAATGTGCAGTTTAGTTTTGAGGGAGTGTGCAATTGACATACTGACTGCAGGAATGTCCACCAGAGCTGTTGCCAGAGAGTTTAATGTTCAGTTCTCCGCTATAAGATGCATCCAATGTCATTTTAGAGAATTTGGCAGTACGTCCAACCGGCCTCACAACCGCAGACCACAGGTAACCACGCCAGCCCAGGACCTCCACATCCGGCTTCTTCACCTGCGGGATCGTCTGAGACCAGCCACCCAGACAGCTGATGAAACTAAGGATTATTTCTGTCTGTAATAAAGCCCTTTTGTGGGGGAAAAACTAATTCTGATTGGCTGGACCTGGCTCCCAAGTGGGTGGGCCTAATGCACCCCTGCCCAGTCATGTCAAATTATAGATTAGGGCCTATTGAATTAATTTAAATTGACTTAAATTGATTTCCTTATATGAACTGTAACTCAGTAAAATAGTTGAGGCTGGTGCCTTGCTGAACTCGGCTTGGAAAACCGAACGAGTGTGCTTGAGAGAGAGAGAGGAAAAGTACTGTTTGTCCATTTTGAGAGACCGTAGTCAGAATTAATCGAAGATAACTCAAGAAATCTGTCATTAATTTTGACGTTTTTGCAGAGAAGTTCATAGTCGTGCAATTTTAAATTTAACGAAGATGTTTGATGCAGTATTTATTTCTCAATTTAAAAAATTGCATGAAAACGAGCTGTCTCTCATTGAATGACAACAAAGGCTTTATTGAAGAATCGCTACTGCTGACCAATCACAGACGAAGGGGCGTAGACTTTGGCTACCGACTTCGGCTTGCCAAAGAAAAAGTGTGCCCGAACAGCCACATTTCTTTTTACCGAACTCCAAAACGAACAGAAACTTCACATAATGCCGTCATAAAGATGCACAAACTCTTACGAACTGTTTCGGCTGGGAAGCATGCGAATGTCTTTAGAAATTTGGAGACATGATAACATAAAGGAATGAAATCCTTAAGTATTTGCCTACCTAAGCAATCTCCACTTATTGGGAATTGTCAGATTTAGTATTGTGTGTTAGGAAAGGAGGCAGTGTGTTGTTGAGTGATTCATTGGCTGACTGTGACTCCCCTCCCCTTCCATGCAGTCTGTTTGGGCTCACTGAGGAAGAGTACATCCCTGATGCTGAGAGTGTGTATCTGCACAGAGAGCATCACCATCAGCCCCAGGCCTGCACCCTCGCTCAGTGCCTCCAGCTCTACACCAAAGAGGAGCAGGTAACACTGGAGTACACACACACACACACACACACACACACACACACACACACACACACTGTGTTGGTATCACAAGGCCACACACAATGGCCGTCGATGCATTTGTATGCTGTCGTATGTATTTAAACAAGAAAAGAGACTTGAAAAAAGGAACATTCTCTTCTTACCAGAGGGTTTGTTTATTATTCAACAGCTGAATATCCAATAGCCTTTCATTTGGTTCAAATGCTGAGGTTGCTGGATATTCTGCCCCTAATGCTATGTTTGAAGTACAGCATTTTTATAACGGCTTCTCTCTGTCTGGAAGGACGCCAGATAGACTCTGAATATACACTGTGGTTAGCCGAGGCTGGAGGTGGTCAGTTTAAGAACAGGCTCTGGTCACAAAAAATGAGGTTGCTGTGAAAACATGGAGTAGAGCAGTCAGGAACTCCCTCTATGAGTAAGACTGATTTAAAAGCACTGCGGTGGGGAGCTTTTCCTTGATGGCTGCGTGTGTGTGCCGTCTCTGTTCCAGCTGGCCCCGGATGATGCCTGGCGCTGCCCCCACTGCAAGCAGCTGCAGCAGGGCCGCATCAAGCTCAGCCTGTGGACCCTGCCTGACGTCCTCATACTGCACCTCAAGAGGTTCAGACAGGTACTGCAGCACCTACATAGCATTCAGCACCCCCTTCAATTCCCACACTGAGAATTGTGTCCAAACATTCCTGTTATGTTTTAGTAATGGTAGTTTCTCATGCTTTTGGTGGCCCGACTGGTTCTTATTCTTGGTTTGCCTTCAGTCACTGTCACTCAGTCTTACCCAGTGACCTATCTCCTGCCTGTCTAAGAGGCAGGTGTAGCGACAGTTCAGTTGACTGGGTACTGATGTGTTTGCTGCTGTGTCCTGAAGGAGGCTGACAGGAGGGTGAAGATGCAGAACATGGTGCGGTTCCCTCTGCTAGGCATGGACATGGCTCCTCACATGGTGAAGAGGTCCCAGAGCAGCTGGAGCCTGCCCTCCCACTGGTCACCATGGAGACGACCGTACGGCCTGGGGCGTAACCCTGACGACTACCTGTACGACCTGTACGCCGTCTGCAATCACCACGGAAACATGCATGGAGGCCACTACACAGGTAAGACTGGTGGTTTAGCAGTAGGGTGGTAGTAGTCACTGACTGTGGAGGTAGATGGATAGGAAAATAACACTACAGTCTGACAGTTTCTTCACCATCACCCTAAATATCTTGTTCTTCTAACCCCCAGCTTACTGTAAGAACTCTGTTGACGGCCAGTGGTACTGCTTTGATGACAGTGAGGTCCAGCCCATCGCTGACGATGATTTGTGTCAGCAGACGGCCTACATCTTGTTCTACCAGAGGAGGAACACCATCCCCTCCTGGTCCGCCAACAGCTCCGTAGCAGGTCAGTGGTTGCTTCTTGGAGTGTGGGATTTTCCTGACACTAGTGTTTAGTTAAGATGGTGTATTACGTTGTTCGATAGGAGAAATGTCATTAAGTGACATTGAAACTGTCTGTCCAGTCTTAGTTGGACTGTAGCATCAACAACTTGGAGTGAGTTTGGTTATCTGTGAGAGACCTGAGGGTGTTGATTGTTGTGTCTATCTGTGCCAGGCTCCACCAGCTCATCTCTGTGTGACCACTGGGTGAATCGTCTCCAAGGCAGCAGGCCGGCCAGCCTGGCTTCCGGGGCCTCCTCCAGACGCACCTCTCTGGCTTCCCTGGGCGAGTCGGTGGAGTTCACCACAGGGGACCACTGCGAAGATGACGGTGAGATACAATGGGATTCTCTGTCTTATTTCTCCTTCTTCAGCTCTTTTCCCCTCCTCTAGCTAGTTATTTCTGACCTTACACAATCTGTTACCATGCCCACTTGAGAAAAAGGGGCATTAAATTATCCTTTCATTGAGTCTAGTGCATTAGTGTAAATTCATTTATTTTAATCTATTTAGGTGGTTTTTCGACCCGTCCCTTTGTTCGGAGCATCCAGCGTCAGAGCTCGTCTTCCAGGTCATCCATTGCCAGTCCTCTAGCCTTCAGTGAGAACGGCATGAAGCCCTCCTGGTCCCTCTCTGCCAAGCTCCAGATGAGGTCCAACTCCCCCTCACGCTTCTCCCTGGACTCACGCTCCTCTCCCCCCTTGGAGAGGATAGGAGAGAGGGGAGAGGCGTGTGATGACAAGGTATCCACGTCTTGCTTCGGTAGCTACAGCAGGCACGAGTGCTACCCTGGCGGCAGGGCCCCCTTGGCCATGATGGAGGGGAACAGCACCGATCAGGACCATGACAGGAGGATCCTAGACGAGGTCTACTGCAGGGCCCCCACGCCAGCCGATAAGAAGAGCTCCAAGAGTGACCCGACTGACAACAACAACCAGATAACAGCCCTGGACCAAAATGCACAAGCCACCCCGTCGAAGGAGCAGAAACGCAAGAGCAGCACCGCCGGATCTGCCCCGAAGTTAGAGAGCGTCGGGTCCAAAAAGAGTTCCATCAAGTCTGAGCCAGAGAAAAGCTCCAAGAAGCGCCAGTGTTCGTCCTCCAACCCCAAATCCTCTACATCCCAAATGTCTTCCAGCCCTGTGGTGAAGGGCCCCAAGGTGACCAACTCTAAAGACAAGACCACCAGCAGCGGCAGCGCTACGCCCACCAGGACCCCATCCAAAAAGAAAGAGTCTTTGTCTTCCAAGGGTCCCGACTCGGCAGCTGGAACCCCTCAGCGCAAGCAGCGCATCTCCACGCCGCAGTCCTCCGCCTCCCCCTCCCCCACCGTAAAGAAGAGTTCCTCTGGCCTTGAGAAGACCTCCTCTGGTCGGAAGAAGCTGCTGGAGAGGAGCTGCAGTCGGGACTCGGGGTTGGTAAGCCCTCTGGTTGATAGACCACGCTGGGGCAGCAACGCTGCAGCCCGGACCCCCAGCAAGACCGCTGCGGAGGGGGTCCGTCCAGAGAGGAGGTTTTTGCGGAGTTCCATCAGCAGCTCCTCTGTCACCAGCCTGCGCTCCCCCAGCGTCTCCTCCAGGGATCCTAGGCGCAGCAGCAAGTCAGAGGACAAGGGTCTGTCGTTCTTCAAGAACGCCCTGCGCCAGAGAGAGTCTCGCCGGTCGGCCGATCTGGGTAAGACCAGCATCCTGGCCAAGAAGGCCTCTGAGAGGACAGCCAGGCTGAGCGGTCAGGAGTGGGATGGGTCAGCCAATGCCTCACTGCAGGCCTCCCCAGAGCATCATGTGAACGAGGTTGTCACTGAGGTAAAGGAGTCCTCCAAGCCCTCCACCCCAGTCAGACGCTCTCTGTTACCTGTTATAGGCAAATCCAAGTCTTCCACTTCTGAATCCAGTCTTAATTCTCCCCCCAATGGGAAAAAGCCTCTTGAGAAGCAGGCATCCTCCAGAAAGCTTTCTACCAGCATGCAATCTTCTGCACGCCCAACACAGAAGCCTCAATGACATTATATATCGATAGCAGTCTCATTATTTTATGTATGCAGCTATTTTTTTTCCGTGTGCCTAAGATATAAATATATATAGATTTAGAGAGTATATGTATATATACTTGTATTTTTCTTTTCATAAGCAAGATGTAAATGATAAAAAGCGCCTTTCTATCCTGTCATGGAACCAAATCATTGCCTTCGGCAAAGTATGGTATTAGTCTACTACTGTACACAAAACTGAATAGGAATGTTTTAAGATAGCACTTTGTAAATACAGTATGGAATATTTTTCCCCAGGACAACGCTATACAGTAACTTGGTTAACAAAAAATCTATTAGTCATTTTTTATGTATTACTTTCACATGGTTTAAAAAAGTCACGTGAAACTAGAGTAACGGGTCTAGGACTTGATATTTAAGGTTGTAAAGGGACACTAGTCTTAAGATATTTTGTGGAGTAGTCTAAAATGTTACTCCATTTCTACACCTGGTGCTGTTCAAAGGGCAATACTGGCACTGTTTGATATATTTAAAATGCTGAGATTCTGAAATATAAAAAACTATCTATGTCAGGGGTCGGCAACAGG